CACACACACACACACACAGACACAGCAAGTGCTACCTCTCTGTGCCTGAGAGGTAGAAGAAGAGATACTCTAGAAAAGGAGAGCAAGAGAGTGACAGTTTTTTACAAGGCTTTCTCCTTGTGTAAATTCTCTGAGGAGACGGGGAACACAGCCCATCAGGCATCATAAAACAAATGGCTTTTAGCACTGAGCTGTTTTAACACCTCCACTGTAAAGACCACCACTGACTATAAACACTACTGTGCTCCCATACTTATTCCAGCCTTTATGCGTTATCCTGTTTATACCCTGTTAACACCCCCTTTCTCTACCTTGTCCTTACCCCTGCCTGTCTCTCTCTTTCACCACCCACTACCTGGTTTGCTTAAACAAGTCACTCTGTACATCATGAGCGTTCAACGACACACAAGCCACCTCCACACAGAGACGAGCGGCAGATGGCAGTATGGACGATGTCCCTCTCGGAGTTACTCGCGGCAGATTGAGTGGGAGGCAAAGCGCCTCTGAAGTCACTTTCGCTGTATTGAAATCTCTCCTATTGTTCTCTGTCCAGTTGGTCTGTAAAAAGCCAACACTGTTAATCAGTTAACCACTGAGAATACACCACCAACAGCTTCGCTAGCTAGCAGTCGGAGGAGAAGATGAGGCATGCTAAATGAAGCTCAGTGTGGAACCATTTCCTACTACTAGCTATACTATGCTGTATCACAGTAAGCAAGCACCCGGCTGCCATTTTTGAGAATGGTTCGCAGTGTTGCTGCTATACAACAATCAGTGTGGTAGAAGACGTAATGTTAGTCCGGTACCTCAAGCCCGAATACGTTACACCATCAAGCTACTGTGTAACTTAAATGTATTGAAAAACATTTTGAGGTGAATAATGATGAGCTGAAAGACATGAAGACAGGCTTGCTCTGACCCCCAACTGCTGTACCAACAGCTCTCACACACAAACACAAGCTAACATTGCATCACCACTAACTAGATTCATCACTGCTGAATGGGAGATAAACACTTATTATGCTCCTCACTACAGAGTCTCTCCGTCTGGTACACATCAGACAACCTTGGTGGAGACATGAGGCCTCAATGGTGCCTCCTGTATGTCATGTCATTTTGTGTTTTTTTCTTAAAAACAAACTGTTTTAATGGGTGGGGTTTAGCTATAAAAAGCTAAATGAATCATTAATCATAAATTAGTCCCTAGCTCTGACACAATGGTATTACACAATCTTTTAACCCCATTTTTTTCTTTGTGGTCTCACAGGTGCTTTAAACCACTGTGGGTGATTAGACCTCTGCTCAGGTTGAAGCTGGGTGGAGCTATGCTTGGAATTACATGATGCACAAAGCCAAAAATGGGCCGTTAAAGATGAATAAATGCTACAGGCCAATGATCAGATTTCTCCCCTACTCTCAAGCCTTTTCAAGTGTGGCTTTCTTATTTGAACTGTAGTAGTGATAGAAGACGCTGTTTCCTGACTTGACAGATCTGACAGACAAATTGGAGCTTTTCCTGACAGCACAAATGTGACTGAATTTAACAAATATAAAATCAATTTTAAGTAATAGAAACTGGCCTATTTATCTATCTAGAGGCTACTTTCTTCCAGTACTCACTCCATTCAATGATCTCTCCTTTCATTCAGCCACTCTGTTGTTCGCATATTCTTGTAAAAAGCAGATTAGAAACCTGGTTACCTGTACACATGACCAAGAAGGTTTCTCTAATCCCCTGCCCGATTATGAAAAGGTTTCACATTTACATGACATTTAAGAAAACGTGAGCTTAAAGCAGACATGTTGACTTTTCAAAGGTGTAATTAACTAAGTTGACTGCAATCCATTTAGGTCCCAGTTTCAAGGCCCTTGTATTGTGTACGCTGGCTGCCCTGGACACTTAATGGAACTGAGCCATTACTAGCGTCATTAATTACACCAGTGCTTTCGCTGCTATAAAAGGCAAAATATCTGCAGTGAAAAAGGTCTGCTAGGCCTCCTTAATGTTGGTTGTTGCTGAAGATATGGTGTGTGGCTGCTCACAATGAGAACTGAACTGAAACCTTGCACTGCAACGTCTGCAAGGAACAAATGAAGTTGGAATCAAACTGAAATGGCCCCATTCTTAAGCTGTGTGCAGTCTTTCCTAGTGTTAGATGCAAGGTGAGTACAAGTCACACTACAATACTGCAGCCAGTTATGATTCAGAAGATACATGCATGCCAGCTCATTAACACCTAAATACGAGGGTCATGGCTTCGAGGTAAATCTGCTTTAGTCTCCCCTCCGGTCATTTGGCTGGACGCTGCACATTTAAAGGTGAACCTGAGATTTCATGGGTCATTCATAATGCAACAGGGCAAGAAACGCTCTGCCCTGCTGGATGAGTGTGTCAGCATGAGGGGGAGGTAGAATCTGTACAAAAATGTGTGCACGGGAGGCGGCGTGTGGGTAAATGTGCATTCATTAGGGCCATCCTGTGCCAGTGTGCTGCCTCAGGCAAAATCGTTAATTATAGCCAGAAACCTGAGTTTATAATGAGGCGGATATTTCCTGTAATTTCAAATTGCTCGCTTTATTTAAATGGAATGAATTCAGGTAGGTTTGCTTTAGCACATACAATATCCATAATGAATGACATATGTGTGTGTATTTGTCCAGCAGAAATGTTAGATAGTACTCAATTAAGTTACCCTGCAGGGCTAGTAAAAATATAATAGAAAAGTGGAGTTCACAACTGTTTCGGAGTGACTGCAGAGCTCGGGGTCCTAGTGCCTGCTAGTTGCTGTGTTGTGTGTGAGAGAGAGAAAGAAAAAACAAGCAGGTTGGTTGACTCGGCCTAGAGCTCCAAACCACACTCCTTTCATTTTCAAAATCTAAGGGAGTGTGTGTGGGCACGCTCACTTGATACACACTCAGTCACTCCAGTCAGTTAAAGCTGCAGTAGGTCACTTTTATAAAAATAATTTTTTTTTGCCATATTGGCTGAAAGCTTCACTACATCCTGACAGTAGAACATGAGACAGACAATCTGTGGAAAAATCAGCTTCCTCTGGCTCCTCCTAGTGCTCCTGGGAATGAGACTCAACAATCAGCGATCTTCAAGCCACCAACCCAAAACGTCTTTCTGTCGTTCTCGGTTCGGTTTTCATTCAGGCCTGGTGGATTCTTCCAAATGCCATTAGGAGCACTAGGAGCCAAAGAAACCTTTTTTCAAAGATTATCTGTCTCATGTACTACTGTTAGGATATAGTGATAGCTTGAGTAAATACTTTTTCTTAAATCACCTACTGCACCTTTAAAGCATGTCTACCCCTCTATTTTTCTTCCTCCCTGCACACAGACGTAGACGTGGAGCAAAGGAACAGGAAAGCCCAGCTGAGAACACAATGAGCGGCAGCAGGGCAGCAGTCCCTGGTGTTTAACATACAAAGACTGACTATACTGCTGGTCTGGAGGGGTTTATGTGCCCAGCGCTGAATTCCAATGTGGGCCCCGTAACTGAAGAACAGACCTGACATCTGCAGAGGACTGGAAGGTTATGTCTCAAACAAATCTTACGAACCTAAAAAGGAAAGGTAGCAGTGAATGTGCCGCACTTTAATGTTTAAAAGTAACTCTGAAACATCTACACGTGGACCCATCTGTCACATTCGTTGAATTTAATGTGCAACAACAACTTAAATTAAAAAAACTTAGTGTACTTTTGTTCCTACTGAAGGGTGTACTGGGGATGTAGACTAAGTAGCTATTTAGTCAGAAATGTCCAAAATAGATAAACGTGAGCAGAAAAGGAGAAAAGAGAAGAATGGGCAGAGAGTTTCCCTCTTGGTTTCCATGTGGCAGTTGAGACCAGGGGCCTGTCTGCTCTGCATATGGAACCAATTTGAAATGTGAGACTGTAGAGACTGCCTGAAGAACAGACAATCACCCGACAGAAGATAGGAAAACGCTACTTTGACTTGCCAGCCGAGCTATTTTCAAAGTTTACCTCTTTACTAAACACTTGGCAGAATGCAAATATGTCTGGCGACACAGTTGTTTGTACACTCCCTATTATCTTCATTATGTCTGTACTGCATTTCCTTTCAGTTGTTGTCTTTCCTTCTATTTCCATTTCACATCTGAGATGACCAAACTCCAAAGATTGATTGATTGATTGATAGACAGAGTGGGGCTGAAACTATTTTTATTGCCAATTAATCTGCAAACTTTGTTCTCAAAACATCTGAAAATGTACCAAAACTACTTCCCACAGTCTTCAAATTGTTTATTTTGTCCGACCAACTGTCCAAATCCCAACAATGCAAATAGGAAATGTTTGGCAGTTTGCAGTACAATTTGCAAATGTACAATGTTACTGCAACTGTTCTTTTTTGATGAATTTAGATTCATTTTTTTTATCCATTTGTAACTTCCATATACAACCTTTTTGCTTTTTTGTTTTTTGGTGTTTGGGTTAACAGAAAATATAACTGGGAAAGATGTTTCCTTGTATACTTTTACACAGTCATTTAATAAATAAACCTTGGAAGAAAACTAAAAATAAGAAAATAAATAAATAAAAAACAAAACAAATGTGGAATGCCCCTTTTCTTATGCTAGAATACACCAAATGCTATAGGCTATACAACAGCTGCATTCTGTCCTGTTATAGTATCTGTTGACTGATCATGTGGTGTAGTTTTGGCTTTTAGGAAGATGCAGTGGGCTTCCAGCAAAACCAAATTGTTTCAAAGTAAAAGCTTTGAGAAAAGTCTGAAAAATGAATACAATTTTGTATAGGACTTTTTCTTCTTCCCTACCAACAATAACACTGAGAACAACTGAGCCAGCATTAAAGCTGCTGGTGACAACAACTGACATAGCCATAACTGAACTCGCATCTGCAGGTCCAGGATCTGCCTACTCAGCAGAGCCCAAACTTGTGGAAGTGTCGGTGTGTTCCGTTTAGTTTGAGTCGGCTGGAGGGGAAACGTTAGCACGAACAGGAGTCTTACCATGGTTCATATCCCCGGTGGAGAGCATGCCACTCCAGCCTCTTTAAAGTCATTTATCGCTGACACATCCGTCCCGAGGTTGGTCGATCTCCGCACGAGAACTGGACAGCCGGTGGTCCTGAAGTTGCAGCCGCGCGCGACTCACTCAGTAACTTTACTTTGAAAAGCCTCTCCACAGTTAACTAAACACAGTTTGCTTTGTTTAAAAAGTTGCATACAGTACAGGTCACATCACCATACGTTCACTTCCTACGCTGCAAACTAAACATTGATCGATATACTGTCGCGAGCCCAGCCTCCCCTCCCGGGGGAACGCGCTGCTCCACGCGAGCGTCTGGGAAAGCTGATTTCAAAGTAAAAGTCCTTGTGTTTAAGGAGGAACTAGAACTGCTTTGAGTGAAATATGAGAAGAGTCTTCCCCCTCCACAAAATAATGTATGGAAGTCCATTTCCGCCAATGTGACGGAAAAAAGGATTCTCTAAGTCAATTATTATAAGAAACTTTCTCAAAATAGTGACTTAGCATCTCAAAATAATTACTTAGGCTATCTCAAAATACTGAGAAACTTTTTCAGTATTTTGACTTAGTATCTTAAAATAATGACTTATAATGAGTATCACACAGTCATTATTTTGAAGTCAATACACTGAAAAATAATCTTTTTTTTCCCTGTTACATTGGCGGAAATGGGCTTCCATAATGACGTCTATCCCTGCTGCCAGAAAACTCAAGACAGACCCTGACACAGGGAATAACTCAGACTATATTGCCTCGAAATGGAAAAAATAGGTTTACATATTTTATGGAAATGTTTGGAAGGGGAAATCCAATTCACACACATACAAACATCTTTTCCCAGCCACATGGGAAATCAAACAAGTTATTTTTAAAGTGGAAAGCAATCATAATGATATGTAGCTAAAGTTTGTTTGGCTACCATATCAAAATAATCACATGACATGAGACAAATGGAGTGTCACTGCCATATCCCTGACCTCTACTGGTGACTGTATGACTCGCTGTCACCTATGATAGGTTACATAGAGCATGCATGTATAATGATATCTGAATAATAACTTGGTAGTTACATGTTTCATATTTACTAACATATCCACATACTTAACAGATTTCATAACAGTCACAAAGCTTGTATTGTCTGTTTGACTCATATGTCGTACTGCTTTTCCTGCTCTTTTTCATACACACTAATAGTGATGTAAGCAGGGCCTGAAATGGGTCAGTACTCAACGTAACTGAGTACCGGCACTTCAGATTTTTGTCCACAAGAGTACCCTTACTTCTTATTGAGTACCGCCACCTCTTGTGAGCATGGCCGTAACTGTCACCGAGGTCCAGACCTCAGTATTTTTTCCCAGGGGCATAAAAATTACTTTATAATTTTTAATGCCTTGACTGGTTAAAGGTTAATGAGGGTTTATTATTAATAATAACAATATTGCTTTTTAAATTCTATTTTAGCTCCCTATATCAAGTTATGATCTATAGCTGTGATGTCCTAGAGAACCTTAAAGTATTATATACTAATATCATTAACTGATGGGACAGTTCAGTTCATCAGCAGGACCAGATAATGCCTTTATGTGGTGCCTCTGCCACAAGCTGTGCACCCTATACTGCACTCTCGTAGAAGGTTTAGGGTGCCCTCTTGTGTTCAACAAGGCTATTTGAACTTAGGGCTTTTCTATGTTTGTCGTAAAACCCAGCAGATGCTGACATAATCAGCACGAATAAGCTGAGAATAGATTCCTAACTCATTGTAAGCAGGTTTTGAGTATGTTGTGCATTCATAGAGGAAAAGTGAAAATAATTAATTAAGGTGTCTGTATGCATAGTAAATTCACTTGAGTGCACAATGAAAATAGAGAGTCTAGTCATAACTGTTGGTGAAACTGTGGAAGTCCATTTCTGCCTGTCAAGAAAAAAACATAGGAAATGTAAGGACTGTCACAATTGTGAGATAGTGTGTCAAAACTATGACATTTTCTATGTCACAACTTTAAGATAGTTAAACATGATTATAAAAGTAAAACTTGGACTTACGACCAGACCCTCTGTGTGAGTTCATAGAGAACTTACAGACTTTACTACATTGAAATATGGGCTACTAAGATAAAAATATGACATAGTAAAAATAAATATAAATAGAATTTTGACTTACCATCTTATAATTATGACTTGCTGTCCCATACCATTGGCATTGCAAATCTATAATTGAATTAGAGAGTTAAAAACTTTCGGCAACCTTTCATTACATTCTTATTTTCTTTGCATTTCTTTTTCCTGGCAGAAATTGGCCTCCATAGGAAACAGCTCCAGGGAGTTCTTAGAAAACAATACTGCATATATAACAGGAAAAAACATTTAGCTTTTTCTTTCTCTGTGAAGTTTCCATGCATCTTGTAACACTTTGTTAGTACAACATGGAAATACATTCACTCATGGATACTTTTTTTCTGTAATTTATTAGTGCAAGATAAATGATTGAGACAGGAATACACGACAAGGCAACACAGACAATGACAGCTACTGGGGTGACAAATAACTAAACAAAAATATAATAATAATAATCATAAAAATAAAAAATAAGAAAGGCAAGTAGTACATAACTAAATCAATACAGTAAACTAGAGGTGCAGATAAGGTGAAGTCATTCTTTGAATACTAACTGCAAAAGTAGTACCCTAGGAAAATGAGTATGTATTCCTACACAGTATGTACAGTACTATGGTAGACCCCCAGCCTGCTGTCAGATGTGTTGAAGGACGATTGCCTGTAGGTGGCGATGTTGGTCTGTTTTTTAAATTAAAAAAATATGTATAACTCCCCTAAACACAATTACTCACATGTTTTTTGATATCTTAAGACTAAACACTGATACAATCCAGATCCAAGAACATAATGCAACTTGTGGGACTAGAGAACTGCCAGTGACAGACTGCAGTCACCTGTGCCTCCATGCACATACTTACTACTCTTTTTCTGTTCTGCATAGCCTTTAACAACAGTTCAGAAGAGCTGTTTTGCATCGTTTGCATGGTCTGTCTTGATAAAAGAAGTAAACAGTTTGATCTGACATAGGGGCTGCTGTCTTTCTGTTAAAGTTCCTTTGATGTTGTCAGTTTCCTGCTTTTTATAATCACATCATATTTTGCATGTTCAAAAGGGCACCATAGAAGAAGAAGTTCCTGACTCAAACCTGTCTGAAAACAATTTCAATTGTGTGTGATCAGTACAAAAAAAGATACGGTGAGAATTCTACCCCTGGTGTGTGGAGAAATGGAGAAAGAGGGAAAGGAATAATGTAGTGTGTGTGTATGTGTGTG